ATATTAAGTCCTCTTTCTTTGAGGTACAGAAAAACGCTGTCTGCAGTTTATGTGGAGAGGAAAAGAAAGAGGAAGTAAAAAAAATGCACAAGATTACTTTCTATTAAGCAACTGGAAGAATTCTCACAAACCATTTTTTTTTGGCTTCTCTTTTGATGTTACGTTCACATTCCTACATTAGAGACTTACCTGGTATTTACATCAGCACTGGAATTTAGTAATGAACATACAGTTTACTAAACTAGTTACTTGGAAGCAATGAAACACTCTGAGTGAAATTCTGGAAGGACAATATCTAAGTCTGAATGCCATTGTCTGGGACTGAAAAAATTTCAGTGTCTGTATCATTTCTCCAAGGAAAATAAACAGAAGCAAAACCAGACAAAAACAACTAACCACCACAACCAAAAAAAAAAACCCACAAAAACAAACAAACAAACAAAACCCCAAACAAACAAACAAAAACAACAACAACAACAAAAAAAACAGATTTGCTCCTTTTCATTACAGTTGAATTAAAAGATGAACTTGGTATCTTAATAATCATGCTCTGAACCTTTTCATGACGCATAAGTGAAACATAGGCCCTCTATTCCAAGGAGAGCTCCCTCTTATTAGGGATCCTGAGTATCCTCCAGAGAGTAAAGATGCCTATAGTATCTCAGATCTAAACTCTCTAACCACACTGAAATTTGACACTTTGTTTATGGTTCCTCACTTTCGGATTGTGATTATCAAACAGGAAAGTGAGAAGTACACTTCCAGTACACCCTGCAGACAAACATTTGGGTAGCGTGAGCTCTAGATTAAATGTTCAGCCTCCAGGGAACTCAAACTTAATTTCTGCATTTTCTAAGCAAGCACACTAAACCCTTCATCATACAAAACATGACAGTCATCCTTTTCACCTCCTCATATTTAGACTCTTCTGGGGACCACGGTTTATGTTTGCATATTCTTAAATCTGAAGAGATGAGACTGTAGAGACAAAACAGACAGATGTCTGTCTCCCTAGATGGCAGCAACAGCACCAATCAAAGTTTAGGCAGTTACAGATTTTTCAAGCAAACAGAGAATTACCTGGCAAATTTAAATTGATACAGAGTGAAGCAGAGTCTGGGAGAAGACACTATGAAGGACTGCCCTAAGTAAGGCAGTTGAATCTGACAGCAGTGCCTTAATACACTTTGTGTAAAATAGTGGCCACTGAAGCTATGACAGACAGGTATCAAGCCAGTGTATACTTAATTTGTTTTAATGCACTAAGTATCTCAGTTCCACATTTGATTTCTGACAGTCACCTTAATATGAGTGGGAGCTGAGATGCTCCACAGAATGCATGCTCAGAATACCTAAAAGCAGAGACAACGTAATAGACGCCTTTTAGAAATTTCTATTGCTTTCAGGATTTTAATAAATGTATTTTATTTACCATACTGATTACTTATATATATTCTTTATGCATTACTAGTTTATGCTACCAGTTTTCTTTGTGGTTTCCTGACCTCATCACTATTTGGATGCTGAATCTTAAGAAGGATGAAGAGTTCAATTTCATTAGCAAAACTTAAAATGTAAGGTTGAAAACGCAGGCTCTCTCATACAAATGTGGTAAAGGGAAAGGCAAAATACTTTATCCAACAAATCAAGTCCTCTATGTTTAATCCTTCCTTAACTGGGAAATTATTATTAATTCAAAGGAACTATGAGCACTTTTGAAGTGTTCATTCACTTGGGGGCTTTTAGTTTGTACATCTTTCCAAACACCTCTTTCACAAATGTGTATTCCTTTAAGAACCACATGTATTTCCATTTCTAGGAGTTCACAGCAAGTATTTAAAAACTGTGCCACGTACAATATGAAAATGAATATATCATAATCAAAGGGGAAAGGTTTGGAAAATGTAAATATATGCTTGGAGATGTTTGTTTTCTCCAATCAGTTACCACTTTCAAAATATGCTGTATTTTCCATGTAACCCATTTTTCATCTGCCCAATTACCAGCAATCTTTTTTTCCTGCTATCAAAAATGATCATTTGTTTCTTTATTGTAGTAGATAAAACATCCTTTCATTGTTTCAGCTCACAAGCTGCGCAGATACTACCCACTGTTCTTGCCTCCAGCACTTCACATTATTGGTGTATTATTTCATGCATGCCCTACTCTTTTATCAATTGCTTTTGAAGTAATGTTAATAGACTAGAAAATTGAGACATTTATGAAGTATAGGCAGTGTTTATGAAAAAATCCATAAAATATGACACAGGCAAGACAAGATAAAAGCAGCATTTTAATAGATTACGGCAAAGAGATCCTGTCAGAAGTTGACAACTGACTCCTCCGAGATCACTAATTTTTATGGGATTAATTCTTTAGTATTAAAAATGAAGTTAAATGTCCTAATTAATCTGTAAATAGCACACCCAGAATTAAACCTTGTGGCCCCTTCCTTGGCAGAGCAATACTTTTGAGTAATAATTTTGAGTAATTACCTCAAACTGATAAACTGAGTAAGATGATGTTATTAGCTAAATAGCCATTTGAATCAGACTTTATTGTATCAATGATGTATGAAATCAGCACTATTTGATAAAGATGTTTGTATAGTAACTTCTGATTTGCAGGAAACTACAGATCACTTGGATTCAACTACACCAGTTGTGTCCAGCCCATGGTCCATGAGCTATGTGCATCCCTGGACAGTTAGAAATGACAAGCCCATAAAAAAAAGCAAATAAGTGATTTACTGGCAGATGAATAAACAGGAAACAGAATCCAAATTAGTTGCAGGGACCCCGACACTGGAATTGAGAGAAACTAAGAGTTTATGCTACTAGGTTCAAACAGCGTAGAAAAGAACATTGAGAATAAGATGCCTCAAGGATGGTAGAAACTGGAATTTGGCAGCTGTCAGAGGGAAAGTATTGAGGTCACAAGGAAAATCTAGAAGTGTCATCAGACATAATTAAGTCATAGATAATTGTATATTATATTTATAAAATAGGTAATGTCAGCATTGAAAATTATTGTAGAATATGACAGTACAATAGATTCCACTGTTCCAGTTTATTTGCTCATTTCCAGATAGAAAAACAAGGAAGTTTTTCAAAACAAAGTTCAAATAGACTTTTAAATTACTTATGTGTTTAGTGTTTCAGTAGAGATAGGCTTTTTAAAATTTTTTTTATGAAGGCAAGCCACTCATGACTGCATATTCTGAAACAGAATATAGCCTAGATAGTATATTGTATTTGTATTAGAAGGGTATAATTATAATACTTTGGAAGTCTGCCTAAAAGGAACATCTCCAAACATGAGGGCAAAAGGACCATACAATTCTCTCTCAGTATCAACTTAAGCTTTCCACAGATGTACTGAAAACATGATGAGGACAGAGATAAACTAAACGATTTCATTCTGCCTGATTGTTGTAGTCCCCAGTAATATCAGGCATAAAAAAAAACCCTGAAAATATGCGAATGCCTTAATTCTTTTTAAAGTATAGCTAAAATTCACTACTACAGGTTTCTCACACAGGACTGAAAGACGGTAAACAAAATTGACAAAACCAGAATGACCATGCTTTGATCTCTCATTACCCTGTGAGATTAGGCTTACAGAAATGCATAAGTTTTATTACATCAGCTAATATAATTAGAAAATAACACATTATCACTGCAAGTCCTAGACATTTGTGATACAATGCAATAACTCTAATGTAGCTTACATTCCAGTAGCTGATAAAGACAGTGTTCTACACTATTAAAACAAGTGGACCAAGAAAAATAATCTGCTTTTTTTCTTACAAGTCAGCCATATTTTATCTTAAAACAGTTTACGTCTATTTAGAAACACTGAGGTCATCTTTTCTCAAAAGAGAAAAGAACCTTTATATAAATATTTTGAGTGGAATTTAAATCCTAGTATCATTCTGCCACTGTTCTGCTACAGATCAGAAGGATATTGTCATGATCAAATTTTTACTTTTTGTCCTCATAGTACGGTTGGGCTAGACTTGGTTTATAAGAAAAACACTGGTAAAGAAATACAGAGTTTTTGCAGTATAAAAGGTGACATACTTCATCAGCTCAGCTAGTGCTATCTGGGCAAGAGGATTTCTGCTTCATTGCAAAAAGTTTTCATTCAAATTTTCAGTGTTCTTATCAACGATACTTTGCTGCCTCATTTTTCATGCTTTCTATATGATGTGCATTATTCTATTTACTTCGTTATTAATTGGAAACAAAGTACAACCTCTGTGTACTTCTAAATGGCTGAATAATATCAAGAGCAATTTCACTACTTAGGCGCTTTACAATTGACTGACCCATGGAAAAAGACTGGATTTGCTCACTTTAAACAAATTTCAAATATGCTTGGCTGTTCCTAAAGTGCATTTGTAATCTAGGCAGATTATAAAAATGAGAATGTGACAGAATTATTCAATGTAAACATAATAAGCAACAAAAAGTATGCTGTTTTTGAGATTAAATATGAATATTTGCTCTTAATACAATTAAGAATAATTAAACCTGTCTTGTGAACAACAACCTGATGATGTAGGTTGTGTTTTTGTTTTGTCCATAAGTTTAAAAAATATAACTTTAAAATGCTTAAAAAATTTTTATTTCTTTTTTCTCCTGGAAAGACTCCAGCAGAGGGTCACAAAGATGATAAAGGGCCTGGAGCACCTCTCTTATGAGGAAAAGCTGAGCGACTCAGGGAGGTTGTGGGCATTCAAGACCTGCCTGGATGCCTACCTCTGCAACCTGGTCTAGGGGGCCTGCTTTGCAGGGGGGCTAGACTCGATGATCTCCAACCCGAACAATTCTGTGATTCAGTGATTTTTTTTTTTAACAGTAGAAAACACTTTCCTTAAACTTTAATACCTTCTTTCTTCTTCTTGTACACTCATTTGGATGGGGAGGAGTCTTCCAAACTGTACCCACTTCAGTAATCTGACGTATAGTTCACATGAAATAATAAAGATTCCTTACCTTGATGGATTGACTGTAAGGTCCTATGCTAGCAGGTGCCCAGTGGGAAATACTCTGTACATGCATGACCAGTTTTTCTTTACTTAATACGTCATCTGCTGCAATGTCACTGCTATGTGCAAGGCAATCAATGCAAAACAGTACTCCATCAGGTAACAGGGTTTCCACACACACTCTGAAAGCAGAAGAAAATTATCTTTTTTCAAATAGTGTTTGCATGCACTATCAGCATTTATTTTCTATGTTGATTTCTTTTTATTTTGGATACTAAATAATGAAGTTTTATCAGGAACATAAGAACAAACACTACAGTATTGCAGTAACCTGCTAGTATTTACGCTGTTATCTCTTCTCCAAATGATAATCAGCTTCACACTTCCAGCAAGACAATCTGCACTACCAAGGAGAAACTAGAATCACAGCCTATGGCTCATTTACCTTTGTTTATTTTAATGGTGTATATCATTATTTTAAGAATACATGAATTCTTTTACCAAGAAAAGTTTGACCATACTACTTTGGAAATAACTTATGCTAAAGCAGCTTTTGGATAGGGAGCACCTTGCTATATCACCAACCATTTTTCACTGACTCACCTTGCATATGCTGGACTAAATGCTCAATTTTCTAAGCATCAGCAGCAGCTCATTGTTGCTTTGCACCATCCTCACATGTTATAATGCAATACCAAGCATATTTTTTTTTGTTTTAGTTGTTTGACAAATGCACTTTTATGATAGCACAGAAAACCTACTTAAGCATTCATTAAGAAAGTTCATTTTTGTTTGCTCTGAACTTAAAAATTTAAGAACTGTGTGCCTGAATGATAGACAAAGTCTATTGCAAATGGCTAGTGAAAAAAGTGTGTGTGGGTGGGAGGGAAGGGCGGAGAGAGGAATAAATAAAAAGAAAGAATAAAAGATGAAAAAAAACAACAATTATGTTTCAAAGCTAGAAAAATAATTATATTTATAGTCTATGCATTAAAATGTCATTTATCTCCCAGCAGGTATCCAACAAAGAATTACTTGTTCTCTTTACGTATCATGTAACATAACCTTACAAAATTTTAATTGTCTTGCTTTATTTCTTCCAAGAAAACTATCTTTCTCCCCTCCTTTCCCATGCAAATACACTGTTTTTTCCTCATAATCATCATCACAGGCATGGATGAATGGATTTTCTGCTTGGGATGGTAAATTTTCAAGACAATTTTACAAATTTAGTGTAGATCTAGACTCCTGAGTCTATGCTTCTAGCATATTGCTTGTGAGAACTCCCACAAACAGGCCCCTGTGCATAACACAACTATGTAGACATGCAAACTGCTGCTTAATTTTTCTTTTGGCTAAAATGCAACATAAATCTTTATGTTCTATAAAATAATCATAAAGTCATTTCCTGCTGCAACTTCCTAATCTTTCTACCTGCTATTTTATGACCTTTCCAAGAAGTAATGGAAAATTATATGCTGGCTGTGCAAATGTGAAGTCTTAAGACATGCAGCAGCATGAGAAATGAAGGACGCTAGATCAGGGAAAGAGTAAGTGCCATAAAGAGAACTTAAGATACATAGCAGTAGAGATACATTTTTGTGTAGTTTACAGCAGAGCCTAAATCCTTCCTCTTCTGGTACACAAAACCACCACTCCATTCCTCCACTGTTTGGTAACTCTGGACTACAATTAGGATCTCAAAAAAGCCTCTTCCTGCTGTCTTCCTCTTCCTGACCGCAGATAATTAGGAGAATGTAAACATACCATCTTAACAATATCTTCTAGCTATTTTCACATTATACTTAAAATTCACGTGACTAAACTACATTAATTCACTGTAATAAAAATTATTTAATATTTTACATTAGAAAATGCTGAACAATTGATTCAAAAAATAACAAGATACAAGGTATCCTCGTAGTTGCCTTTTTTTGAGTTTTGAGAAGTGGGTTGGACTAGGTAACTTCCAGAAGATCCATCCAAGTGATTTTTCAAACTATAGTAGTTCTGCAAACTGAACACAGTATCTCAGAAGCTTAAAAACATGAACTACTGTTATAAGAAATATGCTCTTCTGACAAATGCAAGAAAGAATTTACAAAGGGAAAATTACATTTAACAATTTAAAAAAGCAGAGCAAAATTTTCATGGGCTAGGTGTTTGTAGTCCAATTTCCAGTGAGGTAAACAAACAACAAAAAAACTAACAATAAACAAACTAAAATCAAATAACATCAGGATTAAATTCCCAATATTAACAAATTGTTTCATTATGTCAGAGCTTGACTAGGACCCAATGTTAACAGTTCTGTATTAAATAGTTATGATTTCAGGCTCTATGAATGAAAATATTAGCGCATTCTGAAGTAATGTCTTATTCATATTTGCATATTTACTAAATAAGCAAGTATAGCTATGCAACTCATCAGATGATGGAAACACACAACAAAAGATCATATTGGGTCAAGCCAAAGATACATTTAGTGCAATCCTGTGGAATCTTCATCAGATATCGCAATGGTAGGGCAAAGCACACCCTCAGCAAGTTTGCAAATTATACAAAACTAAGAGTGGCGATTGTTACATTAGAGGGTGATGCTATCATTCAGAAAAACCTGGAAAGGCTGGAGAAATGGGCTGACAGGAACCTTATGCAACAAGTGCAAAATCATGCAATTACATAAAACCCCAGGCACCTGTGCATGCTGGGAATCATCCAGCTGGAAAGCAGCTTTGTAGAAATGGACCTGGTGGGTCCTAGTATACAATGAAAGCCAGCAACGTGCCCTTATCACCAAGGTTTGATGATATCCTGGGCTGTTAGGAGGAGAATTGCCAAGATCAAGAGAGACACACAAGCAAACAGAACTCCATCAATACAAAAGACTTGTCATTTCACCTGAGTTAAGGAGAACTGATGCTTGCAAAAAATGTACTACTTTTCTGTAAAGTCATATTGAGGGGCATTTATAAACCTTATGGAAAATACTAAGGCAAGAACTTCCAACTCCAGTGTTTTTGACTTGAGCACCCCTGACATGATTACTTCAAAAGGTAGCAAAAGTCTGTTTCCAAGTCTGTGAGACATAAATATTTGTAGAAAAGCTTCATAAATATGATAACAATAATACAGTACATTACAGTGTATCATAAATATACTAAAGCAGTAGTCTAATCCTACCTTGCCGGTGGACACAAATCAAATTCTGTCGCATAAACTGAATTTATAGCACTGAAATCTTTCATACTCTTCATATACAGATGAACCAAAATAATATCCTTCAGTTTTAATCCCTCTGAAGTTATAGTTGCTGCAAGATAAAAATAATGTAGCTGTTAAAACCAAAATATTTTAAACACAGGCATCCTGTATTTGTTCAACAAAACAAACTGGTAATAACTAGTTGTCTAAAGATGACTGAAGGCTTTGCAACATACTGCTTTTCCTTACATAATGCCCAATTTTTCATGAAATTTTCTCATGTTAATTTTCTAAGTAGACAGAAATAGAACGATAAATTCTATCCACACAGCAGTGAATCCTTTCCAAAAGAAAATGTATCACGCATTCATGTAAATAGATAAGTTACATTCCTAACTTTTTGTATCACTAAGTTTTATCCTTTTTTTTTTTCCTGTTAATTTTTTGTTTTGTTTCAGACTATGACAGCTAGTAATATACAAGATTTTGAATCAAAAATGAACAGAACTGTAAGGGACAACAAGAAATCCTTTAGTCCATAACTCTTCTCAAATAAAAAGATTAAACATTTACGTGCTATTCTGCAGGGATGTTTGTCTAAGCTGATTTTAAAAAAAAAGTTCAATAGTAAGAAAAGAGTTATAAATGGCAAGACAGACAGTAGGAAATGGAAGTAGCCACAGGAGAAATGAAGGTATGATGTCAGCACACAAAGTTAAAGAAAAGATACTGCGAAGTGGAAATAATATGAATGTGTATACATAGAAGATTTCAGTCATAGCATTTAAGGAGAATGTTTTACTCTTACATACATCAATACCATACAAGATATGTGGATCAGCTCTGCAGTGTGGACCTTTCATAACTCATAAGCAGGAGAAACAAAATGAAAAAGCAAGTCTTCTCTGAAAGACGTGAAGAAATACAGAGCATATAATAGCATTTACCTAACTTAAATGAAATACATAAAGCTCTTCTCAATGTAGTTCTGGGGATCTTGTCCTTTAGAATTACAGTTTGTATCTATACGTATCTATATATAGTCTTACAGAGGAGCAGCATAAGAGTATAAATAGTCTTCACCCTTGCCTTAGTGAGAAACAAATAATTTTGTGAAAAACATTTATTTGCCTTTAAACACAGTATAGAATCTGGCACACTTCCATGAATGTCGATGCAGTCACACGCCAGCACAGTAGTCATTCTGCCACTAGTGATGGCAGTCTGAAGAGGGAAAGGAAAATTCTCACTGACAGAAAAAGACAATCCCTGCTAAGTGATACAAGAGATTACAAAACAATTGACATTGAACTTGTCTGAAGTCAAGATAGATCTCCAGAAATGATCAGCTGAGAAATTAGTACACAATGATAATTCTGTCCAGAAATATAAATGTATTTTATAACTGCCTGATAGTAATCGCTAGGTCAATATCAGCTGCTATTTCATCACTCAAGGAGAAGATGATGACATTTTCTAAATTTCCAGTCAGAATTTTAATCAAGTAGAGTTTGGGACTACTTGAGAGTTAAAGGTTCTTCAGCATTATGTGGAATGTCAGAGAAAAAAAATAAATGTAAAAAAGAAAGTCTAAATTGTGTAAGCTGAGAAACAAACTATAATTTGTGGACATGAAATGGCATTATAGCAAGTCAAAGGCAAAGAGATTTTGATAAATTTATAATTTTTATCTTTTTAGAAATAAGTACAATTCCCTTTTTGTCTGCGTGAATGAGAGGAATGATAGGAAATAATATCTCCTGAGCTTGCAAACATAATAAAATTGACTTCCCAAGGTACTGCTGTTAGTAAAAAGATAAAAAAGATCAACCAGTTACCAATTCATCACCTGGGTTCTTAACAACAAACATCTGCTCCCAAAGAGAAGACAATCACATAGCACATTTTCAGGATACACCTGGAAAGTCCTTCTGTTGAATTTTAAGCCATTCACTCTTACAAAATATTTATAAAATACAGCCACAATCATTCTTTCTTATACAGAATTGCTTCTGACACACACTAAAAAAGGACACCTTTTTTTTTTTTTTTTTTTATGAGTTATCTGGATCTTTAGGCAGAGAGCTACAGAAGGCAACATCAAAATTGTCTACAGCAAGTAGTATTCTAGACTAATTTTTAATGCAATAAAAAACCATGTTGCTCCAGTGAAGCCTAGGAAGATATGCCATGGTAAATCTGGTCCAAAGCTGCTTTTTATGTAAAGCACTTCAATCTTTGTCATCTGAAGATATGCTTAAAAAAACAGTTTAAGAAAATAAAAGTAAACGGCAACGTACTGAATTCCCTCTTGTACTTGGCTTTATGGAAGAAATCCAACCACTTTATGGAACAATTGCATGTTTCATAATGCCCAACAATAAATTTATATTTCTGAATCCTTTGAGAAGCACTTATCCTCTTTAGAGATCATTAAATCAGTTAATCCTGGAAAGTGAAGGTTAAAAGGACTGTGCCTATTCCATTTTTAAACCATAAAGGACAGAAATGCTATATAGATCAGAAGTATGACTACAGACAAAGCCTGGTGGATATCAGCCTATCAGCTCAGTTCTCAAACACATATTGCTTCTTTTTCCATGTCAGAAACTTTATTTATCTAGTCTTCCACAAGCTCTTACAAAAATAATATAACCCCAAAGGAAATCTGAGAACTGATATTTTCATCCAAAGATGAGAATATTGCTATTTTTCCTGATTATAATAACACCTAATGAAAGAAATGTGCTAAAAGCAACAGGCTACTGAACTACTCAAAGACACAATCAGTTCTCTTCTATGACAGATGCTGTAGCAAAAATATGTAGTATCTGTATTAGCAGATATCCATTCAAATATAATAAGAACAAAATAAAATATTATGCAATCCTTTTGCTTTAATTAACATATTTTGCCCAGAAGATTTATACTAAATACTGTTGCCTTTTATTAAAAATTTAATCACATCTACCCTTCTGACTCCCAAGCAATTAAAACCTAGCTTAAAGGCCGTTGACAAACAACTTCCTTATTTCCAAACAATTTCTATGGTTTCTTAATCGTTCTCTATTCAATCAATAAATCAGGCACATATATCTAAGATTTTACACAATAACATTTCACAAGAATTTGTGAGCAAGAATTCAAGCCCACCAATTTACTCACTAAGACTTATTTCCATTTTTATGAATGAAAAGAAGACTGTACAAATGTGTTTTATCTAATGATTATAATGAAAAAAAAAAATTGAACATTTTGTATTATAGATCAATATCTTGGATAGTAAGGATAAGATATCAGGATAGTAAGGAACTTGGATTTCACAATTCCCAAGAAAGCAATTTTTCCTGTGCATTAAGAATATAAGCAAGATTTATGGCTACTGACCTAATCCTAGATGCCGGAATGTTCAACATTTTTCTAGAAAACTTAATTTAAAATTATAGTAGCTATAAAAGTGCTTTAGCAAGTAGACAGCATCAACAGCATGCGTACTCTCACACATAGTATATATTCAAGAAAGCTATAAAGCCAGTAAGTACTATGGAAACAGCATCACAGTGATATGAGCACTGTGCTGGCTTTCTAGGCCCTTCAATGGCAGCCAAATTACGATGTGTTCAGTATTAAAGCCAATAATGATTTCAATCAAACACTAGATGAGGTGGCAAACTGACAACCACAACACCTGAAGTTACAGTCACATTGCAATACAGAGTCCTTATTTAATACCATATTTGAAAATGTATTATTAGTAGCTGATAATGGATTATCTGAAAAAATCACCTTGGAGAGATGAAAATGCTTCCCTTGCTGCCTCTTGAGCATTTTTGTCTTTTGATGGATGAAAGTGTGCAGTGATGCATGAAAACCACTGGTAACCAGTCACAGATTTCCCTGAACTTCCAAATGTCTTACCTATGGGAAATTAATAACAGCACTATGATTACAGAGATGAAAACAGTCACATTAACCAAGAATACATTTTAAATTGCTTAAGTAAGAAGAACCATGGGGGAAAAAAATATATATAAATTGTTAAAAAATCTTCATAACTTATTTACAGAAATGTAGGTATAAATCAAATATTACAAGTGTGCTGGTATCCAAGCTACCATTCAGTACTTGTCACACAAAGCAGTACTTCTTCAACACTAGCTCCAGAGAATGTGCTTATAAGTAGTATTTAGCTGAGAATTTCATTTTTTCTCTCCTCCTTTACTTCTTTTCCCCTGACTTTTTACAATTTTTCTACTTGTTCTGATAAAGACACGTTACAAGCAATGATATTGAAAAGTTACAATTTTCAAAATTATTCAGCCAACATAGAAACAGATTTTCAAAGTTACCTGTCAAATTTTAACAGAATTTAACCTGGTTCTAATAAGCAGCAAATGCTTTATCTGTTTAGGTGCTTTTGTTATTATTGTTCTGTTTGTTTTAAAAATCCCCAGAATTTATCCACATTAAAAGTGCCTATGCACTACTCCGTATCAAACACTGTTACACTATGAAACTTACTTTTCAGAGTTACTAATCTTTAGGTTTTGAGTAAAAGTGATGCTGTGGTATTTCAGTGAGTTATCATTCTAAAAACACTAGTTTATTTTGTGTTAGTCATCTCCCATTTGAGGCAATGCTAGTATTAGGCATATGATTTGTTCTGCAGCTCACCTAAGGGACAGTAACTTGTTTGGGTGCTAAGCTTGATCATGCACATAAGATGGTGACTATTTTTACTAATGGGACAGACGCAAGTCTGTCCATGTAAGCAAGTCAAGTCACGGCATTTTATTACCCATTTTAGACTTCCCTTTTATACTTTCAATTTAAAATGGAGTTCGGATACAGGTGCTGGCATGATCTTCTAAACAACTAATTCCCTCCACTGTAATGACAGTAATATTACAGTAATTTAGTTTAGGCAAATTATAAACATTAATGTGTGAAAGAAAGAAAAAATTGGGTTATGTTTCTTCTGCAAAATAACTTGAGTTTTATTACCACAGATTTATTGATTCCTACCAGAAAACCTAATTGTAATAGGAGACTCTTTTTAAAAAAAAAAAAAAAAAAAGATGTGGCTATTAATGGGCACAAATTGTCTTATAGTCTTAACAGCTAGACCCCCCCCCAGCAGCGCATAAAATATTCACTATTACTTTCCCAATGAAAGTTGCACAAAACTCACTGAAATCCAAAGAATTATGTTTCAAAGCCTTCCACATGATTGGACTGATATTCTGTTGTTCATCCAGTTCCGAAGAAAGTAAAATATCACTATTGTTGCAGATTACTTCACAAGAGCAGCTATTGGCCATAAATGTATCTGAAGATTTCTCCTGCTTGAGAAAAAAAATTATAAAATAAACCAGTAAACAGCATACCAAGCAATGTGAAATCATCATATTTCATCATTCAAGCTTTCAGTTTTAATTACAAAAACCACTTCAGCTTGACAAGCACCTAAGCTTAGAAGAATTAAAGGAAGAGCAAACAGTAACAGTTTTTCCCACTGTTTAGACTGCAGAATTACCAGCATACAATATGTTCCCACTGATACATCATATGGGATCAAATTCCAGGTTTAGTAAGCAATAACAACAGATATGAGAAACAATGAAACTTGAGATAAGAGACAGGATGATATTATAATGAAGAAACACTATTCCACAATTTTGCAGGACAGCTGTTTGCCAGAAAATAAGGGAAAAAAGGGACAAAAGCGTTATAGTAGCAACTTGATCATTAACACTGTCAGTAAACACTTGAGACAGTGCAAAAGACTATAAGAAAAGTTTTAAAACCTTGTTAAATCTTTAGTAAATGCAGCCACTGTAAGTCTTGTTCCATTCAACTCATGAAAAGACTATACACTTCATCAAACTCAACAAGCTTTAGAATGCTCAGAATTTTGAGATAAATAAAGCAGCATTATGAAAATTATACATCGAGTAATGTTTTGATAAGGAAGAAAAATAATGTATGGTGTCTTTTCTTTTTCCTAAATTCTATCCACGCAGTGGACAGTCTATCTAGTGGTAGTCTACGTAGACTTCAGCAAAGCCTCTGACGCTGTCTCCCATAGTATACTCCTAGAGAAGCTGGCAGTCCATGACTTAGACAAGCACACTCTTTTCTGGTTAAAGAACTGGCTGGACAGCTGGGTTCAGAGAGTGGTGTTGAATGGAGTTAAACCCAACTGTTGAATGGCCACGAGTGGCATTCCCCAGCGGTCAGAATCAGTGCTTGTCTTGTTCAGTATCCTTACTGATGACCTAGACTATGAGACTGAGAACTTCCTCAATAAGTTTGCAGATGACACCAAGTTGGGAGGAAACATCAATCTGCCAGGGGATAGAAAGGGATCCAGACAGGCAGGATAGCTGGGCTGAGGCCAACGGGATGAAGTTCAACAAGACCAAGTGCCGAGTCCTGTACTTTGGCCACAACAAACCCAGGCAATGCAAAAGGCTTGTTTCCAGTCTTGGTGATTCTGTGCTTCTAAATGCTTTCCTGGGCCTAGGATAAGAAAACTACACAGTGTACCTTTTAATGCAAAAAGCATACACTGACCAGGCCTTCCAAAACACTGTGTTCACTATGCTTCCAACAAGTTGTGTGATTACAGCATACATGTGTATCCATTTTTATTTTTAGATCAACAGTCAGAACCCACTACTCTCTTCCATCTTAATTACCAATGCAGCCTAATCTGCAGGACATGCTGACTTTGGCATCACTAGCTTGGCAAACACTACTTGTCTTGATCTAAAAAGAAAATGAATTATGACTGAATTTGTCCATGAACCTTAAGCAAATGACACTGCATGCTGCAGCTCCAGATACTACTCAATGATCTTATCTTTTATATAGTATCTGAGCAATGTATTTTTTTTGCAAACTTCTGAAATAAATTCACAAAATCATGATAAAGCGTAACAGAGCAAGTCAAAAAGGTGACAAAATATGAAGCCTTACGTGAGGATAACAAACTGCTGAATACTGTTTTAGCCCACAAATTAATTGTACTGAATATGGAATGTCTATGCAAATCTCTATGAAAACGAACATTAATATTATACAGCAAAGCACACAAGTGCATAAGTTATATGAAGTAAAGTCACCCAAAGCATGACCCTCTGCATTCTCTGTTTTTAAAGAATTAGATCCAAACAAGCTATCAAGTAATGGGCTATATTAAAGGTTACTAATCAATTCTGAATATAAAAATTTTCAGAAAAAAATTTTATATTTTTTATATTTATATTTTATATTTATATATATTCAACTATTTTTTTTATTATTTCTTTTGGAAAACAAAACATATCTTTATGTAGAACTTTAAAAGCTCTCTTGATATTAAGCAAAAATAATAAAAACAAAAAGGCACAAACTCATAATATTTATCAGAAGTCTGTGATGAGAGCTCAATATTTACATTGATGTTTCACCAGTTAAGTGAAAAAGTTAAATGAAAGTAGGGTTTTGGAAATTTTTAGGAAAGGCTATATTACAAAAAAGTCTTATACTCTGAGAGGAAACTCAGTTCTGCTGCCTCTAACAGAGCTCAAGGTGAATTTTATAAATGCTGCAAACTCTAAAACTATGCTCTAAGAAAGGCTGATGATCTTTCATTGGACCTCATTCTATTCATTCATCGTAGAAAAGCATGAAAGTCAAGGGAATAATCTACCATATGTAAATCAATGGTACATAAGAGGTTAAAAGAAGTCAACTAAAAGTAACATCGTAGCACAAAGATTAAAACTACAACGTATCGCAAAGGCTATGTGCATACAAACATTACAATACACAAGTTTCTAACAGCATCTATACCACTTCCCATTTGCTGAATTACAACGTCGACTATTGCCAACAATTAAAATATTTTGCTATCACCTTGGGAGCACCTGACAGCCAACTAGATATTCAGTTGTGACTTACAGAATAAAAATGAAGGAACATAGACCTGTAATTGAATAAAATCTCAAGTTTGATTATGCTGCAACAATCAAGATGAAGGAAATAATGAAACTTCCACAAGAAATACACACATGCTGCTAAGTTGCATCAAGTGCTAAAAGTGCTACCACATCCTTTTGCAAATGGTGAGTTTTTTGAGTTAGCTACTTATGCTGGCAAAATTGTAAAGACCATCATGAAACAAACAACTAGAACTAGAGCATGGACATTCAAAGAATATTAATGCAATATACTCACTTGGTAACAGCCTTTGAGTATGCACAGACAATTACATGAATGATCCTATGACAGTGTTGCGCTGCTTTTTGTTTGCTCATTATTTGCTTCTGTTGCTTTTTTATTAAAACACCTGGGTTTTAACTTCAATAACATTATATTGAATTTAAATGGTTAACAAACCATTATTAGGATAAAAATATGCTGATAAGAAAGGGGGAAGTTCCAGCTTGCCAATATGTCAGCCACTATGTTTCTTGATTTTGTTAAGCTTTAATAAATACCTCCTGAGAAATCTAGAGAGGTGGGTATCTTGTACAAGTATTGTTACATATCTGTAACTTCTCTGTTACCTAATCAGGTGGATTGAATTTATGACACGATGCAACAGAATGTGAAAAGAGCACCTATTCAATTTTCAAGCCATCTGTGAAAACTGTTCTTTCAACTATGTTTCTAAACATCTTTTCTGTAAATATTCTTCATGGACCTGTAATAAGACTCACAAACTTTATTACAACTGGTTTGGTGTAACCTACAGTACTCCTGTGTAGCACTGTAATAATAACAAATAACTAAAATGTGTGACACTAAATTTTCAGATAATCCACTGTCAGATCCTTTCTTTCTAAACTTTTCTATATTTTATAAGTGATCATATCAATATTGCTTCACAGATATAAATAAAATCATATATGTTTACACACATACACAAGCAGCCAGTCAGCTACAAAATTTTTGTAAATTGGGAAATTACCACATCCTAGAAATTCTTAGAGGTTTCTTACATACATCAAAGACTGTAAAAGTAATTATAGGCTACCACTGATTTCAATGGCTACAATATATCACAATGATTCATCCAAGGATGACTCCCACAATGCTCCAAAAACATAGCTAATCCATCATATTCAACAGCAGTACAGGTGTAGGCTTCAGCAGAAGTATTAGGTGTGGAACCTGGCACAAGAAGAACAGGCTCAAGTCAAGCATAAGAAGAGCTGCCAGACTATGTTGAGTAGTTATATTCAAATCTCATACAAATGTTGGTCTTCCACTGCTGTTAATAGAGAACATAATCTAAGGACATAAACACCAAAGTTACAGACTGCCACAAACAGACTTTCTTTGACTAACATTGTCATTATTAAAAAGAAAATAAAAAAAATAAAAATAAAAAGCTTGCTATAATGACATTTTAATTAAATCTTACAGAACTTATTTTACCACATAACATTTTCATTTTACTTCACAGAAGCAATATATTTTCCCATTTGTGTAGACTGTTTCTCCCTCACCCGCTGTACATTGTGATACCAAACTAATTCTGGATCAGAGCCTGCATACATGCATATGGTTAACTATATTCACATAACTCTTGTCATTGATGTAAGCACACCCAGAATGAAGTTAAGCAAATGCACGAGTGTTCCAAGATCCAAATTCTCTGGTTGAAAAAGCCTTGGAACTAGGACTCTGACTGATACAGCTGAAATTCCTTGTAGTGGTCTTTTATGAAAACAACAGATTGCCTTCTTATAAAGCTTACATTTGCCACCATAGAAACTGGTATAAAAACCCATCACAACAAAATTCCAAAACTGAAGGTTTCCCACTAAGCAGCAATGAGAACATAGCATGGTAGAAAGCTCATGAGACATAAGACGTATGAGGACTGTGATAATCTGTTCTTTGCAGCTTAACTTGATAACATAACTTCTTGAAATAAATATAATGAGGGAGACCATGTACACCTCCTTGCAGTATTTTAAGTATAGTAGATAGACACATAGGAAAGAACGTCCTTTACTCTGAAAGATTTTAAAATAATAAAGAGACCTCTCCAAAAAAATCTTTTTTCAGAGAATTGGACTTAGTCTGCAACCAAATGAAGCATGAAAGAAAATCTTTGATTTATTATTCTACTGTTTGAAATAAATCAATGTACTGAAAATATGTCTGCAATTATTTGTTATAAAGTTTGTGAAGTTGTTACAAACCATAGTTTCCCATATTTTTATGATGCAAAAGGGAAATTAAAGGTTACCTAGGAGAAATATCACTAAGTGATGGCAAAGTATTAAAAAAATGCAACCAACAATACAGCAAAATTCTGTCCTGTGCTCCTTAACACCAATTACAAAGTCTAATACCTAAAGTTTTAGGTGGAAATGGATTAAAATAATTCAGATAGAAGAAATTGGACAGGAACAGGCCATAAAGTTAAATCAAATCTAAGCTACAGGATTATGCTCCTTCAGTACAAAAGGCATGTACATATCTACCAAACACCATTCCTGACTTTTACAAATATTTTAAAAATAATCTCTAAATTTGCCTGTGAAATTGATTTGCTCATGTTTAAAGAGGCACAACTGCTTGCATTTCAGCAACATGTTCCACCCAGTTACAGAAAAATGAATGAGTATCATTTCGTGTAGGTAAATACAATGCAATACTATGCATCAAGGAAATTCAGCATCAAACGTGTCGCCTTTATCTGTTGCAGGTAATCAGATTCCATTTCTTCTGCTAAGTGTAGATAGAATCTATGTGATTCTTTCTAATCCCGGACTAACTCTAACCTAAGGGACTGCAGTTTGACAGCTGGTATTGTTTTATGTATATGTATTCCTACTCACTGGGACTCAGGGAACAGAGCACTCATTATTAAATGTGACAAAGAGCAAATCTTAAAGCATGACGGTAGTTAATATATTCACTACTATTACCAGAAATATGCTCAGAAAGAATTATCACATAAGAAGCTCCAGAAGCTTTAATTTCTGTTTCTGATAATTCAAAACTCAAAATAGTTCAACATAGTAACAGAACAGTATAAAATGGGGCCAATACAAAGGTTTTGAAAGTTCAATTTGCTGTCAATTAAAAAAAACTTGCAATTTTAAGCAGTTATATTTTGCCCTAATTGAAAAATATTACAATTATATTTATATTGCATAAAAAATCTGATACATTTGATTTAGAGGTACTGGAAAATGCTTCAGGAATTGCTTCCCCTCAGCAAAGAACATCTTACAATTTAGATATGCAAAGTCACAGAGTTATTGGAAAAGTGAAATAGCAATGAAGCTAGGTATCTGCTTTATGTATATCACAGTGGTGACCTTTTTTTTTTTTTCCACAATGAAGTAAATGAAGCAATCATGAATTTTAAGCATGAGTGTTTTATTGGCATTATTTATTCTTAATGTTTTTGTAGAATACCTTTGAAAAAACTTTTCTTAAGCTGTTTGTTTTGCCAAACTTCTAACAATGTTCTAATAAAAAATCTAATTATCTCTTTATCTGTTTTGTTGTCACTGTTAATGAAAGAAAAAAAAAAGGAGGTAAAAAGAAAAAAGTTTCAAATATTATACAAGAATGCATCTTGAGGTTTCACAGTAGCATATTAAATCAGAACAGTAAGCAAGATGTTATTTTCCCCCAGGCACAGGGGCTCATTCTGCTGCCAGAAACAATCTAAAACAAATTTCTACCCAAGCTCTGTAGTTAAACAAGAAGGGATTTATCTGAAGAAAATACATTCCAGAGAAGGAAAGACAGCAGAGGCTAAAGTACACTAGCATAACAAGTGCATAACAATAATAAGGTAAATTCAAAGAATGTAAAATTAACATCTGTGGCATAAAACTAAGATAAATTGAATACAAAATAAAAGTTAAAAATACATATTTCAGCTGAAACGATAACAAAACGGATGTTGTGATGCTTACTAGAATACTAGAATTCTCATTGTTGAGAATTTTTGCTCAAATTTCAGTAATTTTCTGAAAGTCTGAAACTAAAACTGTTTTTTTTTTTTTTCTCTGCAATGATTTGTTACTGCAGGACTGCCTTTCAACCGCTGAACTACTAACTGATACTTAACATGTTTTGTAGGGCTTGTAAAGCATGAAGGAGTGAGAGAAAGTACAGTACTACAGGCATATTAATCTTAAAAGCCTCTCTATTATTACACAGTTGAACTGTGCCTAGTAACATGTTGTGCTCTGAAGGACTGACTGGCTCTCCATATTCATATCTTCTTGAAAACTTAGCTTATTTTAACATGACACAAAATTAATCTATTGCCAAAAGACTCTAATGCTCTTCCTCATGACACAGACATGGCACAAAACAGACTATTTTTCGTTTATTTCTACAAGACATTAGTTTATATACCAAAATCCAGAGTATACCTCTGTAAACCTTACTTCTCTAGGAGTGTGACAGCTTTGTCCACAAGGAATGTGAAATAAGACTTATTACAATACTGCCTGAAACTGTGAGGCTTTAACCAAATTTAAAACATAAATCTAAAATAAGAAGGGGAAAAGAGCTTCCATTCAAATAAAAGTAAAAATCTTGATTCTTATATAAAATATTATGCATTTTAATATAACTTTTTCCTGATTTATGTAAAGCTTTGTGTTCTTCATTTTCCCTAGCCTGACACTTTTTTGTGATATATGATGCATTTTAGCATTAAGTTTGCCATAAGCAAGAAAAGTCAGGACCCCCAAAGAAATATTAATGTCATCAGTAGACCCCACCACGTGTCTCTGGATTTTCAATTATTCAGCCTATTTGGGTTTGTTTCATGTAGTTATCTGACATTCAGATTCTCCTCACATATACTTACATTTTATATCTGAAAGAAATCTCAAATTAGAAACAAGAAGGATAAAATTCAATTTACTTTTTATGGGAACAGTGAGGTTACCATGGAAGAAAAAAAGCACAGATTTTATCTGCATGGAATGATAACATTAGAGAAGGTATTATGCATAGGAAAAAAAAAAAAAAAGAAACATCTCTCAAGAGAGATGAGATGTAAATGAAAACTGTAATAATTGTAATAACATTCGGTAACAATCCCTTCAACCAGAAGAGATTGGCAAAGCATAGAAAGAAATGGGAAGAACTACAAAAAGATGACTGCAGTAGTGGCAGGAAGATCATTTTCAACAAAGTTGAAGCTCTTAAAAATGTTAAGGAGTAAGAAAAACATATTTTACCTGCAAAATAATGAAGAGAAAAATAGAAAAGTGTATATATATATGAATAGGTATATATAACAAAAACTAGGAAAAGTACTTTCTCATCTGACTTTCTTAGCTCACATTTAAGTTTGCAATACCTAAATCACAGGAGTTCCTATTCTTGTTCTCCATATTGCACTGAATCAGTAACTACTGAGGGAATCCCTGTTACTTACTGACAATTCTTTCAAGCTCATTGATCAGGGTATCTTCTCTACAATTTTTTAAAGTCAATCTTTAGATGTAACTTCCATATAGAAAAGATTAAACAATCAGCATGTTTAAAACTTGAGCACTAGGGATTCAGGTTTTAGAACCATCTACTCTGCAAAAGAAACAGCACAAAGAGATCCAAGCAAATCAACGCTGTTCATACAGTTCCTACTACAGATGCATTCTACTCTGTGGCTGGCTGTATGATGCGGGTTATGTATCTACTTGACTGCACCATGCTGGTTGAATATCTTAAGGTTTTAAAATGAAAAAAATGCTACACAAATATACTACCTTCATTCATTCATTCAACAAGCAAGTATTTATATTGAGTTTTTCATATATCATGTTCTGAAATTCAACTAAATATATACATCTTTATTCCAAAGAACACAAATAAAAAGATGTAGCTTACCTTCAAACTGTGACAATGCAACACGAAAAACCATGCATATAGCTTTAAAGGGAGATGACATTTGGGATTTACTTGCCTTATTCTCCAGGTGCATTTTCAGAAAATGAAGGTAGGCCACAGGTGCAAATGCATCAGCTGAATGCATAATTACTTTTGCCGAATCTCTGAAATGCAAAGTTATCAAAATCATATATATTTTAATGTACAATTTAACATATTGACAGTGCTTACTCACTGTGTAAAAGACTGCAAGAGAACCAATTGAGAATCTTTTTTTTTTTTTTAAACAATGCAGAAAATTTTTGCCATATAAAATTGGTCTGTTGAACATCACTCTATATACTTCACTAATTTACAAAAGGAATAATAAAGATAAGAATAAGATAAGAATAAAGATATTTAGCTAGATATAGCCTATGCAATCATAACTGACATTATATTTTGCATTCCAGAGACTAATAAGTAATGCAATCTTTTCATTTTATCAATGTGAGATTTTTATAAGTCTATTTTTCATCATTAATGCTCCAGGGACTAGTTCTTGATGTATTAACACCATGCAATATTTCATGCTGAGAAACTGACTGATTTGACCATCTTGCATCTTATACTGAAGACTACTAGACACAACTTTTTAATGCCAAATGTGTTGGTAGCAATGATAAACTTACTGTGTGCTGATTCAAATTAGTTAATTGTAGCTTTTATTTTTACAGACACAATCTGTCATGTTTTGATTCAAAAGAGGCTTTATCTGTTCTATCCATCTGCATGGTTTTACTACTTAAGCAAAAGGTAGCTCTAGGAAATAAACATCAGAAAGTGAGAATCTCAAATGCCTTACAAAAAAACCTGAAAATTCCTATAAGAAATGCTGAAGACATACAGATAATTTTCTTGAAATTACAGTGCTGTTAAAACTTCACAGTATTCAATAAGTTTGGCCTGGGGATTCCAAACAAGATTTCTAGTAATGATATATGCGTACTGGAAACAGCTGAAGTTGCCCAGATTCCAATGACTTAATGAAAGTGTAAAATTAACAGAAATATCTGCTTTTTAAAATGTGGCTTAGGATTTAAAATCAAAACTCCTTAATGCAATCACCATCACTATATCGTACAATACACCTTTAGCATAAAAAATTCGACTTCACTTTTAATAAGCTTTTAATTTCATGATTATCAAGTCTATAGCTTCATTCTTGAGAGTTATTACCAAGACTTTTAAGATTGAAATATCATATTCTTTTAGGACTTCTTAAAGATAATCCCTTAAGATTAAAGTAATTCTTTTCAAATGGTCATGGTGCCTACTAATTCAAATAGGAATTTTGTAAATGGGTAGAATATAACTTCGGAAATTTTTAGTAGGAGGAGCACATTCATGGAAATCATAAAAACATACTTTGACATAGCAATGATATCTTGTACCTCCAGTGTCTGAGGATAATATCTCAATAAACACTGCTTGCTGTTGAAGGAAACAACAGCAATGGGGAAAGTCTGGTACTATTGAGTGATGCAGTAGTTACTTGAAATTTCAGAAAAGCTTATATCCAAAGTGAAAAAATAATATTTTAGGATTGTTCACTGTACAATTTTGTACAATTTAAATGCCTAGTAACTTTTAAAAAATACTTTAAAAATACTAAATAAGTATACTTCTAAAAAATACTTTTACAAGTAAAAGAAGCTGTATCCCCACATGTACCAATTCAACAGTGCAGCATGCATGCTAACCATTGAACCTTGTGCTAGCAGTTCTAAAACTGTGGAAGTTTTTAGATCTTATCTGTTGCTCAAGAAATAACGTAAACTGTAACATTTCCTCTAAGAATGAAATGAATTCCTGAAACAGACAGCTAACATGTGAATGGCATCACAGCAGGTATTTGGTTTAAAATGCTAACATTTCTCAGTTGACGGCTCCAAATAGGTAGATTATGTGGTTCTGAAAATAGTATTACAACATATATAAAATAAAATATTCTTCTCCATTTAAATCATTTTCTGTCAGCCTCTCAGAACATACACCTTTGTTTTAACTGATAAAATGTACTGTATTGTTCAATACTAAACAACTAGGTGGAAACTATAAGAGTTTTGTTATCAATAAGAAGTTACCAATTCAAAACACAGGAAGTCCTTAACTTGGACATTATGTATAGCTTACGAGATAGTAAAAGAAGTAAGTAAATAATTAAACAACATCAATACCAGAGAGCTTAAAATAAAAAAAACAGTCACTTGAGAGTTTCTGAAAATTGTAAGAGAAGTTCCATCTATGGACTGAGTCATAATTTTCCTTAGGAACATAATTACATTGTGACAGAAGAAGAGGAATTTAGTTAAGGAACATTTTCAGAAGACTTTAGAAAACAACAAATAATAATTTGAAAAACTGTCCTAATTGTCTGATCCCCCAAATCACCTTGAGTACCTGGGAAATTAATTTAAAACAGAGAATAATATTTTCACAAAACACATACAAGTTAGGGCAAGTCTTTGTCATTTTTTTTCTCAAGTTTACAAATTTAGTTTTGATTCTAAACCAAATCACAAGGCTAATGATAAAGCAATCAATGCAAAATTATATTTCCAAAACATTTTCAACATATCAATTTAACTTAGAAAGAAAACAAATTGAAGCATTCGGTATTCCATACATACCAATGGGCCTTTATCATTACATTAGATGGCCCTCACATAGACATGAACTATATGATTTCCAGAGGTGTCAATCAGTTGCACTATAAATAAGAGTGAAATGCCAGACAGGAAGTGCTTGGTATCTCTTAAATATTGAGCATAAGAAAGATGACAACAAGCATTCTGATAAAACCAGATAAAAACCATCTGACTCCTGGTTGAGTATTTCTATTGTAAGATCTTTGTTTCTCTACTAAATACTGTTTATTTTCAAATGTTTCACTCAATTTGGCATGCTTGGTTTGTGAGGCATGTATTTAAATGAAGATTGAATGGTTTTGCAAGACTGAATTTAATATTCAAAAGCAAAATTAACCACATATTCTCACATTAAAACAACTCCCACTTCTCCATAACTGACATAAAGGTTATTTTCTTCCTGATAGAGCAGATTTCCTTTTTCAAAGATGACAATGTGAAAACAGTGAAAACACAGTCATAAGTTTCATGTGACAAAAGCAGTAACCAGTGAAAATGCTACCCAAAAGTAACATTGTAAATTATGGGCATATTAGATAAGGTTTTGATGTGGGAGGATGCAGGGGTGCCTTCTGTGAGAACTGAACTGTTCCCAGTTCCAGCTGGCTCCAAAAGGGACCCTATTACTGGCCAAAGCTGAGCCCATTAGCTACACAAGCAGCACCTCTGAATAACTCATTTAAGAAAGGATAAAAAATGCTGAACAGCAGCTATGAGAAAGGAGTGAGAAAAGACACATGAGAAAAACAGCCCTGTAGCCACCAAGATCAGCACAGGAGGAGGTCAGGAAGTGCTCCGGGTGCAGAACAGAAGTATCCTGTAAGCCCACAGTGGAGCAGGTTGCTCCCCTGAAGCTCGAGAGACAGCAGACAGAGCAAATCTCCACGTACAGACCATAGAGATGAGTCTGTGGAGGAGCAGTTGGATGTGGCCTGAGAAAGGCCATAGCTTGTGAAGAGCCAAAGCAGGAGCAGGTTCCTGGCTGGAGCTGCAACCTATTAATTTTAATTGAGCAGCTCACTGGAGCAGTTTATTACCCTTTCCCAAATCAAGATGGTTTTGCCCATGATGGTCTCGACTAAGCCATCCTTCTGCCCTTATCTTGACCCATAAGCTTTTGCACCTTAATTTTTTTCCCAGCAAAGTGAGAGGGTAGCTTGGTGAGTATTTGCCAGCCAGCAAATACACTGTAACTGTTATATAGGAAAGAATCACCTCCAATGTCTTCCACAGAAACTTACACTAGTAAAATGTTTCTAAGGGATTTAGGAACCTTGAAAAAATTTGTACAGGTTTTAATCTCTAGCTTGTAATTCTTACAATGCCATTTAAGCTTAAAAATAATATCAGGATGTATATCACAACCATGGTTATTTAAACATCTGGAAACTACCAGCTTAACAACATGATTACACAGTTTGTTTTGATTCACCCAGTGAATATGAAAAACAAAAATAAAAACTAAGTGTAAAAATAACTCATAAATAACAAATGATTATAAACAACATTTAATGAAAAAGAAACTACAAATATTATTGTAAAAGCTCATAAGGTAATAGATTTTTACATGAATAACCCTTAAAAGGTACACTTTTATGACAAAGTAGGAGAGAGCTAAGCAGTCCTGATTAAGCCTGAGAAACAAAATGTCAGTGTAGCTATTCAGTTTCGACTATAGAAATGTATATTTAGAACTAGTTTGAGCAACTAATCTATTTCAGGTGTGCAAAGAGATCTTTCCAAAGGAACACTGGGGAACTGTATATCCAATTCTAATGCAATACCCAGATTTAATCTGAAACCAAATATAGTTAATAATGTAAACAATAAACTAAAGAAATTTAAGCCAAAAACTTACACAAGTGTATTTCATTTATCAGTTATAATCTAGCTACTCTTCTTCTAAAATATACATTTTGTCGCAAGTGTTGCAATACAAATAATGAACAGGCCAACGACTGGTAATGGGTAGTATTTCTCAAACAAAATGACAGTTTCTCAGAATTCTGTCTCTGACACCCACTGGAATTGATAAGACTTTATCACTTCAGTAGAAATCATATCAATCGTTAAATGTAAAAATGAATATCTCCAGAGTCAAATTATCCAGTTTTTTAGTTAACTACGTAGGACATATCATGCAGTCAAACAATATTTCAGCTCAGCAGACTTCCACTATAGCAGCTTCTAAACCTTTTCACATTTTATCTATTCCTCTTCCTCTCCCTGCAATGAAACAGTCAAACAGTTTCTAGTTCTCTGCTCTATACAGATACCAGTGGTATGGAAAAATGAAACAAATAAATCTTCACTGTGGAAGCTTTACCATATATGCACAATAATCCTGACCTTCCATAAGACGACCATCATCAATACATGATTACTAATCTGTTTACTTGTCTAAGAAAAGGAACATCAGTTGAAACATCTCACTCAAAGCAAGCAGACTTAGCTATTTAACAGACTAACATGAAACTTACAACAAGACTCAAACATTATTCATATCCCTCTACACAGATTTTAGCAATTTATGTCAAAAGAAAAAGCTACTCAGTAAATACTAGATGGATTCATCCTATGTTTGTATTTAAAATATCCTCTAATAATGGAAGAAAAATGTTTTCGTTATCATTCTAAGCTGCTAAACTTACACGCACTCACTTGCGCACACACACACAGAGTTAATGGAACCCACAGGCTACTGATGTGGCAGTTTATCAAATGTAGCTGTAATGAAAGATAAATATTACAGGCAATTCACACTTCATGAAAGGATAAAAGTGTCAGTGTGCAGGTACCAGTTTTACTGCAGGCCATAATCAGCAAGTAAACGAAAGTGCAAATGTCTAAGAAGTTTATAGCTTTCTATGAAGGCCTCGTCTTGTCAGGTATTGATTTAGGTTTTCAGAGGACTTGGCTAGTGTTAAACAAAGTGAGTGTTTGTGAACTTAGAGGATGTGTTTTTCACTCTGCCAACAAAAGCTGCCTCAAGCTAAATGTGAAAATGCTCGCATCGCTTTAATATAAGGAAATGGAAGAAACTGTTCCTTACACAACTATTTTCTTCTTAAATAGAGGGCAGTCCAGAGTGAATGTTTCATATTCTCCACCTTCTCCGCAAATGTGGACACCATATTTCTCAGAAACCTAACACAAAAGGAAAATTTAAACATACAGGTATTACAGTAAAGCACTCAGATTTTGCTGATAAATTCAGTGTGTACCTTCTAAAAGACTACTCATTAAAATAATAAAAAATCCTCAAATATCACACAAAAGATTCTTGATTTCTTTGTATCATGTATCACAATGACCTTTGAAATACCATTTTGTTATATTTTAAGTAGAATTGGTACTGCAGTATTCAGGTAGACAAATCAAATCTAATCTAATTATTCTTCCGCAAGAGACTAGAAAGTTTGTTCAGACACACGAATCTGGTTCTCTCCCTTTGGCATAGATAGTTCACTTCTGTGAGAAGCTTGTACAGTAAATCAATACAAGATGTAGCACTTTACATAGCAGTGTACAACAAATAAAATTTCTGGCAACTGAGTTAACAATCACTTCCATACTTTTGTAAATAACTATCTTGTTCTCAAAAATTCTCATAAATTGAACTTTCCAAGTCAAAAGCAAAAGCAAAAACTGAAGAGGTAATAATGTGTCGCTTCCATTCCAAATCATACTAAGTGCGGTCTCTAAGTTGATATATATATATAAATATTCCTGAAGCTCTGGGAATCACACTAAAACAGAAAATTACATAATTCAGTAAATTTCAAATAAGAGATATGATTAACATCAGTGACTGTGGAGCATGAACCAAAGTTCATTTCTCTGAGTAAGAAGAATGCAATTGCTAAACAGTTCATTGCAATTCTACGTTGACAGTGTCAGTAGGTAATAATCAAGCAACTGCATCATGCCCAGAGCAGAGACCCCCCCCCC